CTGTGTTTTCATCCGTTACGTTTCTGATGGCAAACACCTCGCGCCCAAAATTAACGAAACATACGCATACCTTTTCCCTTCTGGCAACATGAATCCAAAAAGAAAACCCTCAATGGGGTGCGTCCGCCCCAATGCTACAGCCCCAGCAAAGCAGCCCCAATATTACAGTCCCGGTAATACAAGCCCCAATACTACAGGGGTACTTCGGAGGAAACCAAAAGGAGGCAACAAACCAAACAAAATCAAAGGACATTCTGAAACTTGCTATGGTTTCAATTGCAAGCAATAGCACAAACATAGGTTTCGCCCCCAGAGATCCAAACCTATATGTTTTACAAAGTTTGCAGCATCGGGAGGCAACAGAACCTTGTAACACAGCGTTTTCACTAACTGGAAAGCCAAAACGTTGTGTTTTGTAATGTTTTTCCCAACCATCCTGTGGTGTTGGGTCCTCGTTTTGAAGAGACGGTCCCCGCGTTCCTCCTCCTTCTCCTCTGCTCCCTCCTCCTCCACCGTCCGCATGCGTCCCGCACACCCAATACAGCGTTTCGTGGCCCTCCTCCCCCTCCTCCCTGCGTTTCACCCACCCAGTACAGCACTTCGTGGCCCAATGGGGAGCCCCACCGAAGGTCCCAGTGCTACCATCCGCATGCGTCCCGCACACCCAGAGCAGCGTTTCGTGGCCCTCTTCCCCCTCCTCCCTGCGTTTCGTCCACCCAGTACAGCGTTTCGTGGCCCCATAGGGAGCCCCACCGAAGGTCCCAGTGCTGCTGTCCGCATGCGCCCCGCACTCCCACTACAGCGTTTGGTGGCCCCATAGGGAGCCCCACCGAAGGTCCAAGTGCTACCGTCCGCATGCGTCCCGCACACCCAGTGCAGCGTTTCGTGGCCCCCTAGGGAGCTCCACCGAAGGTCCCAGCGCTACCGTCCGCATGCGTCCCGCACACCCAGTACAGCGTTTCGTGGCCCTCCTCCCCCTCCTCCCTGCGTTTCACCCACTCAGTACAGCGTGTCGTAACCCCATAGGGAGCTCCACCGAAGGCCCCAGTGCCCCCGTCCGCATGCGCCCCGGAAGCCCAATTAGGCATTTTCACACACCCAGTGCAGCGTTTCGTGGCCCCATGGGGGGCTCCACCCAAGGCCCCAATGCCACCGTCCGTCTGCGTCCGGGAAATGAGATTTGGTATTTTCGCCCGCGCAGTGCAGCGTTTCGTGGCCCCATAAGGGGGCTCCACCGAAGCCCCCAGTGGGACCATCCGCATGCGTCCCGTTACGTAACCCAATTTGGCATTTTCACTCACTCAATAGAGCGCTTCGTGGCCCCATAGGGAGCTCCACCGTAGCCCTCAGTGGGACCGTCCGCATGCATCCCGGAAACCCAATTCGGCACACCACCCACACAGCACAGCGTTGCCCCCCGCCCAGTGCAGCGCTTCGTGGCCCCATAGGGAGCTTCACCGAAGCAGATATTCTCAATTACGGTACCCACAACTGCAAATGGTCGGGACTTTCGCCAGGATAATTATGCATCCCGTTGGCAAACATATTATAAAACATAGCGTCTTAGTTTTCCAGAGGCTGACAAATCTGTGCTTTACAAGGTGGTGTTGCCTTCCGATGCTGAAAGCATTGTAAAACACAGCGTTCGAGGCTGAAACGAATGTGTTCTATAAGGTGTTGGTGCTTTCCGATGATGGGGACATTGTAAAACACAGCGTTTTGGAGCTCCGGGGGGCGAAAACGATATGTGTTCGCAATTTCTTGCAATGTGAACACCAAGGACATTACAAACACAATATTGTTCGCAATGTCCATTGATTTTTGTTCCCCACATGCTTGGTAAAATTATGGTGTTCTTTTCTCCCGCGTCCCACCCGCGTTTCTCCGCCTCCTCATCCCTCCTCCTGCCTCGTCGCGCACCCGCCTTCCTCTCTCACCTCCTTCTCTCCTCTCCTCCTCCTCCTCTTCCTTCCTCCCCTCACCCACGCGCTACACACGCACGGCACGTACATGAGACACGCGTCAAATGCAGCCGCACGTATGTACACACTCGCGCATACATCATATAACGCAAGTGCGCGCTTGGCGTGTCGATGGTATCATACATCAAAACGTATGCGCCACATTCTGGGCAGCCACATGATACTCACGTCCACATGCAGCCATCATACACATGCACAAGGCCTTCAAGGCACAAGACACGCATGCAGACACACGCGCACACACGAATACCCACATTGAAACACGTGTCCACATACAGCCGCACACACATCGCATTCATGCACAAGTCACGCAAAACACAAGACACGCATGCGGACACACGAACACACACACACACACACACACACACACACACACACACACACACACGAACAACGCCAGTGCACGCCTGGCGTGTTCACTGCATCACACACCCTCGACGTATGCGCCACATACTGGGCACCCACATGAGACACACGTCCATATACATCCGCACACGCATCATACACATAACACGTACTGGGCACCCACATGAGACACACGCACGCCGAGATACAGCTGCGCACGCATCATACACATGGCACGCACACCGCACAACACATGCGTGCACGACTCGCACGACGTCGCAGGCGTGGCACTTTCTCCACACCACAAGGTGTGCGTAGGGGGTGGTCCCTCACGGCGGCCCCCATGCGTGACAGGGTCTGCAAGGGTGGCAGGCGTGGCACTTTCTCGACACCACATGGGGGTGCGCAAAGTGTGGTCCTTCACCGCGGCACCTATCCCTGCCAGGGTCTGAGAGCGTGGCATGCGTGGCACTTTCTTGACACCATAAGGGGGGGCGCAGGGGGTGGTCCCTCACGGCGGCCTCTATGCGTGCCAGGGTCTGAATGCGGAGGAGATGGTCCCTCACGGCGGCCCCTATGCGGGCCAGGGTCTGAAAGCGTGGCAAACGTGGCACTTTCTCGAAACCATAGGGGGTGCGCAGGGGGTGGTCCGTCACAGCTGCCTCTATGCGTGCCCGGGTCTGCCAGCGTGGCAGGCGTGACACTTTCTTGACACCGTAGGGGGTGCGCAGGGGGTGGACCCTCACCACGGCCCCTATGCGTACCAGGGTCCGAGAGCATGGCAGGCGTGGCGTTTTCTCGACACCATAGGGGGTGCGCAAGAGGTGGTCCCTCACGGCGGCCCCTATGCGGGCCAGGGTCTGAGAGCGTGGCAGGCGTGGCATTTTTTCGACACCATAGGGGGTGCACAGGGGGTGGTCCCTCACCGCGGCCCCTATGCGTGCCAGGGTCTGCAAGCGTGGCAGGCATTTCACTTTCTCGACAAGGTAGGGGGTGCGCAGGGGGTGGTCCTTCACCGCGGCACCTATGCGTGACAGGGCCTGAGAGCGTGGCAGGCGTGGCACTGTCTCGACACCATAGACGGTGCGCAAAGGTGGTCCCTCACCGCGGCCCCGATGCGTGCCAGGGTCTGAGAGCTTGGCAGGCGTCCGTGCCAGGGCGGGAAAGCGCGGCATGTGTGGCAGTCAGAACTGTAGCCACCCTGGCTCAAAACGGCTCGAATCTTGTAGGTGCTGCCTTGCCACCCGCGCCACTCATGCCGCCCAAATGTGCCATGGACGCACTGCCGCCTCCGTGGTTGTATGGCAGGCGCAGGCGTCCAGGTTAGCACTGTGAATTTGCGCAGTTGCGAGGCAGCGTTGGTGAAACACTCATTTAATTCGTACCGCCGACAGCTGAAAAACTGGTGGCCTGATACGCCTCTCAAAGGGGACGATGAGCTACTCCACCAAGGAGGGGGCGACGATGCCAGGAGGCAATGTTTGGTGAGATACCTGCTGAATCCTTCATCCGGTGGGTTCCCAGGAGGCAACGGCCACCAGGAACATTCTCGCATGTTTCACTTCAGCTATCATCATCCCATACATTGTATGAGTATGCGGGGCTCCTTGGTAGTGTTCTTTGTTTTTGTGATTTCTTGATCCGCTTGGTTTCCTCTTACAGTTCCTTGTAGTGCTAGGGCCTGCATTACTGGGACTGTACTATTGGGCCTGTGCTACTGAGTTGTAGTACTGGGGCGGAAGTACTAGGGCTGTACTACTTGGGGCTATAATATTGGGGCTGTACTACTGGGGCCTGTAGTATTGGGGCTGTACGACTGGGAGTTGTAGTACTGGAGCTGCATTAGTTCGCGCTGTAGTAGTGGGGCTGAACTACTGAGGCTGTACTATAGGGGGCTGTCCTACTGTTGCCACGACAACAAAAAGCAATATACATAACGTCATGAATAACATAATAACACTAAAACATAAGGATGACGCACACACGGTTTTATCAACCTTCCTGGGGTAGGGGGGTAGTTGGGGGCGGCGATGGGTCGAATAGCCCGGGGGCGAGGGAGGGCAATACATGTATCCAGGGGCGCCGATGGCCCATGCCTTCGGCGAGGCGCCCTGGCGAAATGCATTGCCCGCCCCTGGGCTACTCGCCCCTCGTCGCCTCCGAGGACAGGGCTACAGAACCCTCGAAAGATCAGCCGGGCTGCCCCGACGGAAAGTAAGCTGGAGCTCCGCCTCGGACGCCTCGGGACGCACGCGGGCAAACCGACCCTCCCTCCCTCCGCTACCTCCCTCCGTGCTCTCTGCTCTCCCTCCTCCACCCATGCTGCTCCGTCTTCCCCCTTCCATCGCTGTCGTCGTCGTCGTCGTGGTGGTGGTGGTGGTGATGGTCATTGTCCGCCGGCGTCGTCGTCCGTCGTCCGTCGTCCGTCGTCCGTCGTCCGTCGTCCGTCGTCGTCGTCGTCGTCGTCGTCGTCGTCGTCGTCGTCGTCGTCGTCGTGGTCCTCGTCGTCGTCGTCGTCGTCGTCGTCGTCGTGGTCCTCGTCGTCGTCGTCGCCGTCGTCATCGCCGTGGTCCTCGTCGTCGTCGTCGTCGTCGTCCTCGTCGTCGTCATCGTCGTGGTCGTCGTCGCGGGCGTCGTCGTCGTCGTCGTCGTCGGCGTCGGCGGCGGGCGGGCACGGCGCCAGCCCGCCGAGGATAGCCAGGCGGGGGCGGCCCGTACGGCGGGTAACCCGGCGGCGGGGCCCCCGGGTGGCCCCCGTAGGGCCCGGGGGGCGGCCCGTAGGGCCCGGGCGGCGGGTAGTAGCCTGGGCCGCGCGGGCGGCGCGCGCAGCCGAGGGACTGGCCGCGAGGAGGAGGGAGGAGGAGGAGGGAGGAGGAGGGAGGAGAAAGGAGGAGGAAAGAGGAGGAGGAGGAGGAGGAGGAGGGAGGAGGGAGGAGGAGAGGAGGGAGGAGGAGGAGGAGGAGGAGGGAGGGAGGGGAGGGAGGGAGGGAGGGAGGGGGGGAGGGAGGGAGGGAGGGAGGGAGGGAGGAGGGAGGGAGGGAGGAGGGAGGGAGGGAGGGAGGGAGGGAGGGAGGGAGGAGGGAGGAGGAGGAGGAGGAGGAGGGAGAGGGGAGGAGATAGACGACGACGACGACGACGACGACCACGACGACGACGACGACGACGACGACGACGACGACGACGACGACGACGACGTCGAATGCCACCGTACGCCGGGGGCAGCCCGTACGGCCCAGGCGCTAGGTAGTAGCCGGGGCCGTGTCGGGTGTTGCCAGAGGTGCCCCTGGCCCAAGGTGCCCCCAGGATTTCCAAGGAGGCCCCCCCACGGCCTCAAGAGGACCCCTCACGCGGCCCAGAGGGCCACATGGGCTCCGAAATGGAGCGAAAAGCTGGGCACCTCGAGCAATCCCCGGTCGTGCGGGCGTCGCGCGCAGGAGGGCTGCAAAACTCAGTCGGCGATGTTCTCTCCTCCTTCTCCTCCACCTCCTCCTCCTCCTCCTGCTCCTCCTCCCCACCCCTCCTTCTCCTCCTCCTCTTCCTTCTCCTCCCCACTCCTTCTCTTCCTCCTCCTCCTCCTCCTCCTTCTCCTCCTCTCCTCCTCCTCCTCCTCCTCCTCCTCCCTCCTCCTCCTCCTCTCCTCCTCCTCCCCACTCCTCCGTCTCCTCCTCCTCCTCCTCCTCGTCCTCGTCCTCCTCCTCCTCCTCCCTCCTCCTCCTCCTCCTCCTCCACCTCCTCCTCCTCCCCCTCCCCCTCCCCACTCCCCCTTCTCATCCTCCTCCTTCTCCTCCGCATCGCTCCTCCCTCCTCCATCCTCCTGCTTCTGCCGTTGCCGGAAGCCTCGGGCGGGGGGAGGAGGAAGAGGTGGAGGAGGTGGAGTACTCAGCTTGGGACCGCCAAGCTGTATCGTCGTCGTCGTCGTCGTCGTCGTCGTCGTCGTCGTCGTCGTCGTCGTCGTCGTCGTCGTCGTCGTCGTCGTCGTCGTCGTCGTCGTCGTCGTCTATCTCCTCCTCCTCCTCCTCCTCCTCCTCCTCCTCACCCTCCTCCTCGCGGCCCCTTCGGCCCAGGCGGCGGGGAGCAGCCTGGTGGGCGCCACGAACCTGCCCAGGCATACGACGAAGCCAAGACCCATACTATAGACGAGAGCGTTCCACTACTCGCAAAGCCACTACTCGCAAATGGCCTGGATCCGCCATGGGAGATTTACGATAAATCACATCGATGCAGACCTGTTTTTTTCAGACGTTTGCGAGTAGGCACTTTGCGAGTAGCGGAACGCGCTTGGACCCATACAGCATCGGACCCGGGCTGACTCCATCGGGGACCCCGGAGCTCTGGCGGCGCCGGAGGAATGTGGCGGGCGCCGGCGGCCGTTCTCGAGCGCCCCGCTCCATTAGCGGTGCACCCCGGTGCGGGCCCCGCCCGAAGACACCCGGCGCGCCTCGAGCGGGTCGATGCGGCCGCTTTGTCGCCAGCTGTGGCCTCCTGCGAGGCCAGTCTCGGGCGTCGGGGCCGTCGACGGCCTGGCATGAAGAGTATCGTTCCACCGATCCCCATCCCCAGCGGCGTGGCCTGGGCCCCACTGGCCGATTTACCCCCCTGGATGGGGATATGGGTCGTGCCCTTCGGGTTTCGAGGGGTGCATCCCCAAATGGGGTGGTAGTTTGGTGGGGGTCTCGAAGGGGATGGGTATGCGCATCGGTTAAACTTCAGGGAAAAGGTCGAGAAGTACAGTGGCCCACGCATCAACGACAGACCTCGAAGCGAAGGATGTCTGGGCACCCTTTGTTTGGGTAGACACCTCACGCATGAATCCCTCCCGTGCTCGCCCCTTCTCCGTCCTCCCTCTTTCTCCTCCCTCCTCCGTCGTCCTTCCAAACGTTTTGCCTCCTCTCCTGCCTCCTCCCATCTCCCCTCTCCTCCTCCTCCTCCTCTCCTCCCTCCCTCTTCTCCCGTACAGCAGGAGCCCGACCACAAGAAACCGTCCACAAGAAACCCAACCCTGAGACCCCAGGACGTTTATTGACTTTTGATGTGGGCACGTGACGCCTGCCACAGCAGAACCGTCGAAACCCAAGAAACCCAGGGCACCCTGGAGGCAAGCAGGGTGTTTCTTGGCATGGGCTTCCGCTGTATTTCTTCATCCTCTGCTCCCTCCTCTTCCCCCTCCTGGTGACGCCCGGAGGCGGGGCAAGCATCGGCAGGGGCCGTGCTCAAGGGCAGCTGCTGTCCAAGGCTGGCTGGCTGGGCAGATGGCGCTGCCTACAACTGGAAAGCCTTCGCATGTCCCCCTATGTGCGGATTTTGGACGCCAAATAAACCATACCCCAAAAGATTCACACAAATATTTAAGACAAAAAACACACTCCCAAAATCGTCCCAAGACTATTGTTTGACTATTTTTGACTATTCCTCCTGTAGAGGGACAAGCCCGACTTAAAACTAACCCCGCCCCACACGGACAAGACGGAATACCAACCATTGTCCTACTCCTTCGCCACACTCATTTCGGCGATCCCCACTGTAGCTCAAGTCTCAAGATGAAGCCAATCTATGAAAGCCATGGGCGCGACTGTTTGGGAAACGCTCCACAACGCTCTGAGAGCGCTCTGGATAGACGGACTTTCGTCCCGGGGCCGTCGTATTCTGGGGGGGGAGGGAAGCACGGTGAGGAGGAGGAGGAGGAGGAAGAGCAGGAGGAGGCCGTCGTATTAGTTCAAGGGAAGCAAGGTGAAACACCCATGGTGAATAAATACTTGAGGAGCCTTGCAAATCTCACGGGGCAGCTGTTCGCACCATATCCGACATGTCCACTCTGTCCACCAGGCACCTCGGTCTGATCAGTGCGAAACGAAACTGCCAAGCGAGAAGAAGCGAGAATATGGTGCGCAAAATGGCTTTCTACGCCTGGGTGTAAGAGGTAGGAGACAACGAATCTTTCCTGCACGACTGTCAAATAGGTGACCGGTCACTGAGCCCAAACGGCACTGGGCGAGCGACCCTAGCTTAAACCGTGTCTCGCTCCCCTGAACGCAACCTTGAACCCTGATCCACGGCCCCAAACTTCGCGCTTTGCGCTGCGCGAAGCGCGAGGTGCGAGTAACTGCGCGCTCTCGCGCCGCCTCCCATGGAAAAAGAGGAGGATGAGGAGGAATCGCAGCCGAACCGCGCGAATAACTTCGCGCCCTTAAGGGTGCCCTTGTTGATCCCCCCCTGCTTGCTCCTCGTTCCTCAGGTCGACCCTTCCTCACCTCGTTCCTCGGGAGGACGAGGGAAGGCAGGAGCGGAGAGGGGAAGATCTAAGCTGGCCCCGCGGGGGCCGACCCCCAAGCCCACAGCGGGGCCACCGCTGAAAATGGGACGTGCCTATTCCGAGGGGTAAAAACACACCTCCCCAGACAACCCCGGCGTCTCGACTCTTTCGAGACGCGGGCCCCCGACCTCTCGACCACCTGCCCAAGACCGGTTTCTCGCCCCGAACAGTTTTTTGACGGTCCCCAGGCCTAAAGGGGTCACCGAGAGGCCGAAAACGATGAAACACTCCCGTCTCGATTCTTGAGCAGGGACCGACCGTCTTGGCATTCCTGCAGACCTACCACGACATGTTCCTAGAGCCCAAACGTGTTCTGATAACCAAAAAACAATTTTTAGAACATAAGTCCGATGTGATAAAACAAGACGGTCCCAGCCAGCAATGTTCTAAGAACATGTCGTGGAAGCCACATAAATGTTCTTAACACATTGCTTGGTAGGCCGCCGGGCACGCCAGGACGCTTTGCCACTGCTTGAGATCCTTGCGAGACGCCAGAATGCCTGGGTCCCCTGCTCCGTGCTCCTGCCGAGCTTCTCCTCCCCCCCCTCGGCTTAAGTCGGGCCTGACCCCTTAGAGGGGGATTTTCGACGAAAAATTGAAAGTTACCCCAAAAATGCACAAACAAACATTCAAAAATCGTCAATTAATGGTCCACAGACTATTTTTTCATTATTTTGAATAATTCCCCCTGTAGAGGGACAGGCACGACTTGACCCTCGGCCCCTCCGCTCCACCGCAGCTCAACTGCCCGCCGCTGCGCTGTCGCTCCACAATTACACAGGCGCCCGCCCGCGCTGCTGCTCGGCCCCTCCCCGCTCCTGGGGGGGAGCGCCCGGGGGAGGGGGGGACACCGACTCCAGGAGGAGGATCGACTCACTCTGGGAGGGGAGAGCGCCCGGGGGGGGGAGACTGACTCCAGGGAGGAGGATCGATCTTTCAACGAAGGCAGCGAGGAGACAGCACCGGAGCGACATGACTCGGAAGTCTCTGAGAGCCGGCGGCTTTGGAAGGTGTGTCGCGCGCCGCGGCCGCTGCAGAGCGTTCCGGAACGCTCTGAGGGCGTGCCGGGACGCTCTGGAACGGATTCATCTTGATCCTAGGCTTATGATGCTCCCATCGTACTTAAGGACCACATCCCAGAAATAATTTCGACCAACCTGAAAAAGGTCGAAAGAGTGTCGAAAGAGTGTCGAAAGAGTGTCGAAACAGTGTCGGACGAGTGTCTCCCAGGGCCCGAAACGTGAAATCCCTCGAGTTTCGGTATTTGTTGGTGCTCGAAATTCTTTCTGGTGGTCAAGGCTAAAGTAGGTTGGAACATCATGATTCTAGGCACGTCCAGGAAGTCGAATCGGCGATGCATCGCCGATAGGCCAGCGATAGGCCGCCAATATCGAATCCGTACGTTCCTGGGCGGGGTGGGCTACCAGGCCCCCACCGGCGATCAATGGGCGATTGGGGGTCGATGCAGCCCCTCCTGAGCCTCTCACCCTCCTAACGTTAAGTCGGGCCTGTCCCCCGCTAGGCGGATTTTGGGCGAAAAAAATAAGCATAGTCAAAAAGTACTCCCAAATGGTCCAACAAATAATTCAAAAAATCGTCCCCAAGCTATTGTTTGACGATTTTTGAATCTCCCCCCTGTAAAGGGACAGGCCCGACTTAACCCTAACGCTGCCCCTGTTACCCTGGCGTGAAGAGGGCGGGGTCCCGAGGGAAACGGGTCCTGGACCCTGGTGCCTCTTGCCCCGAGGCCCGGCGCTTTACCATCTGAGTCGATATTTTGTAAACAGCACTGGCCTCCTCCTCCGCCTCCTTGCTCCTTGCTCCTCCTCCTCCTCCTCCTCCTCCTCCTCCTCCTCCTTTCTCTTGCTCCTCCTCCTCCTCCTACTCCTCCTCCTCCTCCTCCTCCTCCTCCTCCTCTGCCTCCTCCTCCTCCTCGGCCTCCTCCTCCTCCTCGTTCTCCTGACCCGTGAGGGCCACCGAAAAGGCGCTGAGAGCAGGCAAAGCCTCGAAGCCTCTTTCCCTCAGGAGCCAGGCGCCTTTTCCCTTCACCGCAATCCTCGACACTCAAAACCGAGAGTAAAGATGCGCGGTAAAGCTACAAGGACCTTGGAACGCCCATGCTGCAGCTTTTTTCTCGAGCACAGCGGGCCATCGAAAGGAGTCAAGGATGGACTCCAGAGGCACGGATGAAAGGGTACCCTGGGGGAGGTTACCCATCCTTACCATCGGTCTCGGCTGTGCTCCTCCACTCCAGACTCGAAGATGGGACCTTTGCAGGGGTGCGTTGTGAAGGGAGCCCAGCCGAATTGCATGGACGCGCTGCGCCGCCGAACTGACCAGAATTTCGAAGGAGAAGCCCAGTGTAAAAAGGGGCCCACGGACACACAAGACGCAAATCCCAGGATCCCCATTTCATATTTTCTGGATGTTCGTGTTCCCCTCCACTTCCCATATTTCCCATATATTTCTAGGAATCGGCGACTTGTCGTATCTGTGCTTTTCCCCTCCGAATTCCTGTGGAGGCATGACCCTGCACCACAGCAGAAGCTCCTGGAGCCCGCGGCGGGTTTCTTCTGTCGGCGCCTTGTGCAACCCCAGAAGCCACCCCCATTGCGAAAACTCCCATGCCCCCCCCCCCCCGCACCCAAGGCGCGCCCCCCGCGGACCCGCGGAGGGCCTCTCAGAGGCCGGCGGGCCTCTCAGACGCCCCGCCACCTTCTGAGAGGGCCCGCCCCCTCACAGGCCCTCGAAGTCCAGTTTTCGGGCCCTGCCTCGGATCTTCGGCGGCCGTTCGGGACGATCCGAGCACCTCCGAAGCGCCCTCGGCGAGGCGCAGCAACTGGAGCGCACCCCGAGGCTGGAAAACCGCTGGGAGCCACCGAAAACGCCCGAACACCTTGAGCCTGGGAGAAGAACTCCCAAACTTGCCCCGTGGGTGGGCTGCCGATTGAGCCCCCACGACGTGCGGCAACGTCAAGGGGGGTTTACCACTAAGGGCTTCTGCTACTTTATCGACGAAGCGACACTTCCTCGAGGAAGTGGGCCCACAGAACACTCCAGAGCCTTCCAAAACGACTCCAAACGTAAACACAAACTCATCGAGTCTGAATCCTGGAATCTCAATTTCAACGAGGAGCTGTTGACCCCCCTCGTGGTGACCCCCTCGTGAGGGGCAATGATCGGGGGGGGAGAGGCTCAAGGGGGGAACCGTCGAGCTGGAATCGGCCCGAGACACATCGGCGATAGATCGCCAATAGGTCCCGATAGCAGGTTCGCAAGTTCCTGAGTGGGGTGGGCTATCATGATTCCATCGGCGATGCAACGGCGCTTGTTTGGACGCCCAGAGTGGGTACGGAAAAATGAATACCATGCCCAACAACAAATGTTGTCCAAAACCAGCAGCGGCCGCTGTTGGGCAAGCGGCCTTCTGTCTCCAATGAACAACGCCCGCGGCGGTATGGACAGCGAACCCGCTACAACATGAACAAGACATGGTGTCGGCCTTCGTACCCATTCTTTCCGTACCCATCTCGATCGTGCCGAGATTGAGGGTCAAAATGTCCTCACCTGGGCCTGCTTCCCCTGTCGTTGCCCCTGACCTCGGCGCTGCCCGACGACCAACGACGATCCACTGCCCCATTCGGGGAAGCCCAAAGGCACCGTTACCGCTGCTCCCCGGACCTCTCCCGGGGTGCATTCTGACCAGGACGTCGGGGCGAACCCAACGGTGGCGACGAGGGCCTCCCAAGAGGCCGAAGAAGGAGGGGAAACCGGGGCGAAAGGCCGCGGGATGGGTGCTTTCCCAGACATGCGCGACGTCCTGATTTTTTCAGGACGGCGTCCCCGGAAATCCCGACCCTTTCCCCGGGGCCGGCGCTTCGTCCCGAGTCGTTTTTTGGCGGTCCTGAGGCCCGGCGAGGGCCCCCCGGAGCCGAGAATTTGGAAAACTTCCCGTCCTGATTTTTCCACGACGCGATCATGTCTGGGTTTTCCTCCTCCGAACTGCTCCCTGCTCCGGCGGCGGAGCCAGGAGGAGGCACGCCGTACGCGCCAGGCGGCGGCGGCGCGTAGTACCCGGGCGGGGGGTGCCCGTAGCCCGGCGGCGGGGCGCCGTAGCCCGCGGGCGGCGGGGCCGCGCCTGCAAGGGTCTCGCGAGGTCGGGGGGCCCAGACCTCGTCGCGTCGTGAACCCGTAGAAGCCCCCTACAGATGGGGCCCTCCTCCTCCTCCTCCTCCTCCTCCTCCTCCTCCTCAGATGGGGTCGGAGGCGCGTCGTGAACCCATACACGTCGGTTGGAAGAAGCAGGTAAAATACAAAGTCGAAAGGCAGACAAAGTGGATTGGGTCCAGGCCCTCCAAGAGAACAACCAAGCACAGAAAAATCATGCCGATTCTTGAAGTAGGAAGGCGCTGCTTGAAGTAGATTGGGATCTGGGAATACAAAAATACATACTTTCAACGACCGGCGTGTAGAGGCCCCCTAGATGGGGTCCGAGTAGATGGGGTCGGAGGATCTCGCCGCATCGCCGGTACGTCGGCGGTGCAACGGCGACGTCGGCGTGAAGCAAATCGGGCTCCGCATCCAGCCACATCGGCGATGCATCGGCGCTGCGGCCCGATCCTCCGAGCCCATCCACTCGGACCCCATCTGGGAGGCGCAGAACCCGGGCCCCTCGCGCCGTGAACAAAAACTTCACTTCGTCGCGGCGCGGCAGAGGCAATCCGCTGGCGCGTCGGGGCGAGACCAGGGCACGGCGTCGCGAATCAGCCCGCATGCAGGGGAAGGTGAAGGATGAGAGGGGGCGGCCGCGGAGAGGGGACCAGAGCGCGGGGGCACCCTCGCGCGGCGAGGCCGCGGGGGGCGCGCGGGGGCGGCCGGGCTGAGCCGTGAACAAACGCGACAAGCGTGTTGTTCTTTTGCTATGTTGCGCCGTCGCATGCGTCCCCGCCGCCCATGTCGGCAGACCCCTCACGCGTGTCGTGGACCCAGGGGGAGCTCCGACGAGGGTCCCAGTGGCACCGTTCGCATGCGTCCTCCGAGCCCACTTCGGCACACCCCTCAAACGTCTCGTGGCCCCATAGGGAGCTCCACCGAAAACTATACTCACAACTGCGGAAATCACGACTGCATGGGTCCTTCGCCAAGATAATTGCTATTCTGGGCCCCTGGGGGCCCTCGCCGGGCCCCGGCACTGTAAAAGAACTCGTCAGGATGAAAAGCTGGTCCTGGGGACTGGGTCGACACCTCTGGGGATCGACGCTGTGAAACAATCATGAGGTCGAGGGTCTGGGAACCCAGACCTCCTCGCGTCATAACGGACAGGCCTAGGGTTAGGTCGGGCAGGACCCGCGGATGTTGGAGGACAGATAAGATAAGTCGAAACGTGTTCAAACACAGCTTGAGATCAGAATCGACACATTGCCCCCGGACCATTTCTTGATGAGACAGGCCAGGCTCGAGCGTGGGGGCTCCGAGGCTCGAGGCTTCCCGCGCTTTCGTTTTACAGCCTCGGGCGGCCGTCCAGCGGCTGCGCCTCGCCGTAGCTCGGGCGTGTCCTCCTGCAGGCGGATTTTGGGCGAAACAACAAAAACAATAGCCAAACAAATGCACCAACACAGGCAAAAAACTGCTCAAGGATCGTCCCCAGACTAATATTTCAGTATTTCTGAATATTCCTCCTGTAGAGGGACATGTCCGACTCAAGCCTCGTCGAGAGCGTTCTGGTGCCCAGATTGTCCAGAGCCGCCGCCAGAAAGCCGAGCACCCGAAGACCAGTCATGCTCGCGTCGTGAAAAAAAATCACGACGCACGGTTCAATGCTAGTTTCTGACTCTGGGGTCCCTCGCCAGGCCCCGCGACCGCCAACATAATGGCTCGGGATGAAAAGCCAGTTCTGGGGAATGAGTCGAGACCTCTCGGGGTCGACGTTGCGAAACAATCATGAGGTTTTTTTTGTTGACCTGGCAAAGCCCAGCCGCAAGCGTACTGACTAGTGACATCGAATCGAGTTAGAATCGGATCGGGTCACCATCGAATCATCCCAACTCAAATCGAGATCGGATCGACGCGCCTGGCCCTGGCCGGCCCCTGCCAGTGCTGGTGAATCGAGCCGGATCGAATCGAATAAGAATCGCGGCACCAGCTGGCGAATCGGGGCTGCAAGGGTCTGGGGTCAAGATTCTGTCATTTGCTAGGGGGACGAACTCGAACCTGCATAAATTAGAACTTTCGGAGGTCCGCGCGGATTTTTGGATCGGCGTTAGGCCCCTCCTTGGCACGCGGAGCGTGACAGGGCAGGCGCTGGAGGCGCCGCCAGGGGGATCCAGCGCAGATCCAACAACTCCGCTCGGACCTTCTAATGTTTTTCGACTGGTCGACAATGCAATGCACTTGCTGGTGGAGCGGCTGAGCAGGAGGAGAGATGGAGACTGTCCAATCACGCGCCACCCCTAACACTGGGAACGACGCCGCGTCACCAGTTCTGATGGTGATTGCTATTATTGGGCGTTCAGTCGTGCGTCATGTCGATGATGGAAGACACGGCGAGGAGAAGCGCGGTGTCTTCGCCAAGCTGCGCTTTGAGCTTGAACTTGTCTGGGAGCCAATCGTTATCGAAGATGGCCCCATCGTTCATATTCTGCTCAATCTTCGCTACTGGTCGGGCGCGGTCGTAGTCTTCCAGCGACTTGTAAACCTTGAAGTCCCAACCGAGCCAAGAGCCGACGCAGTGGTTGATCATGTCACTGTCGCGTTCACGTCCGCGGTATATTCGCCACTCTTCCTTCTCCCACGAAATGCGGATGCCCCTTCCGAACTGATCTTTGTTGATCGTGAATCATGCATCGTTGTTGTCTTTGGAACCAGGGGGCAAAATCCGGAACGACCAGCGCCGCTGGAGGGGATTCCAGACGTTGCTCGACAACCGAATCTTGAAGACTTCCGTGCCAGTCTTGTCGTACACATGCACGCTCTTGTGCGCAAGCGAATTGGACTGCCGCTTGCCTTTCAGCTTAGCAGTCTTCGCATCGATTTCAAACTCGCGCCCACCAAGCTCGACCAGGAGGAGGAGGAGGAGGAGGAGGAGGAGGAGGAGGGAGGAGGGGGGGAAGGAGGAGAAGCACGAGGAGGAGGAGGAGCACGAGGACGAGGAGGAGGACGATGACAAGGACGCCTCGAGCCTCAGATCCGAAACGTTCCATACGAGAGGCACGCGCGCGCCGGCGTAGGCGCCGCCGTAGGGGTCCGGCGGGGGCGCGGCGGGGTAGGCCCCGGGCGGCGGGTAGGCGGCCAGGGCGTCCGCGGGCCCCGCGCTCGAAGGGCGGACGCTGCTGGGAGGGTGACCAGCCTCGAGCCTGCAGTCAACCCGTATGATAAGGGTGCGCGGTAAGGATGCAAGGGCCTTGGCAGGCCATGTTGACGTTCTTCGAGCGAGGTTGGCCAGCGAAAGTCGCCGAGGATAGGCCGAGGGGGCCAGGGATGCTAGGGTACCCTTGGAAAGTCGCTCATCCTTACCCCTCAGATCGACAAGCCAAAAGGCGATGCAAATCTCAGGGATGCACCCTCGAAAACTGAGGGAAACCTTAAGATCGGCATCAAGATGAAGCGATGCTATGCTGCATCTTCGAGGGGCCTTGTCTGTCCCGTCGCGCCGCGATCCACGTCGAATCCGTGTCGAGCGAGTCGAATCCGTGTCGAAACCGTGTCGAATCCGCGCCGAATCCGCGTCGAATCCGCGCTGAACACACGTCGGAGTACAAGAGCAGACTATCACGTACGGGACAGGGGAGGTCCCCAGAATATGCAAAGTAAGCGATGCCAGTCATAGGGGCACAAATATGTCCCATCGGGGATCTACTGATCCCGGTCAATCCAGACACGGGCCAATCGGGCTTTGCAGGACCCTGCAAACTCCTGCAGGATCTGGCACCCAAGCCCGGGCCAGTGCGCCCCTGGCACTGCAAAATCCTGCAAGATCCGGCGCTCTGACCAACTCCCGCTCGCACTGATCCCGGTCTCCGGAGCCCCGCTTCCAGGCCGGTGAGAGGGAGCCGGAAGCCGGAGCTCTCCTCCTGGAGCTTCGAGGGGGGCCCCACGCCGGCCCGAGGGCAGAGGTCGGAAGGCTGCCTGAAGGTTCCAGACACCGCTGCCCTGCCCCCGTTCTCGCAATTGCTGTTTGGCGGGGGGCCCTCCTGGGAGGCCCTCGTCGCCACCGCTGGAATCGCCTCGGAATCCTGGCCAGAACGCGACCCGGGAGAGGTCCGGGGAGTAGCGGTCTCGGTACCTCTTGGTTTGCCCAAGAGGGGAGAGAGAGAAGGATAACGAGGAGGAGGAGGAGGATACACTTGATGTGATGCGTTTTTCGCTTTGGAGTGCTTGGTGTCATTTCCTCCTCCCTTTCTGCCTCCTCCCTCCTCCCTGCTGGCGACGCAGGCCTCTGTGCCGAATGAGAGCGTTTAGAATAACGAGCATTTACATGAGCACAAATGTTCCAAGGCCCCTGGGGCGCAGATCCAGGAAATCTGCGTGGACCTTAAACCATTTCTGTTCATGCAAACGCTCGCTCTCCTAAACACTCTCATTAAGTACAGAGGTTGCGTCGCCAGCAGGGAGGAAGGAGGAGGCAGAGAGGGGGGAGGAAATTAAAGCCTGCACTCCAAAGCGAACAGAACAACACTTCAAGTGTGTCCTCTTCCTCCTCCTTCGCCTTCTCCTCCTTGTGCTTGCGACAATCCCCTCAGCCCTCTGCGCGTAAACCCAAACATGGATTAGCGAATATGCGCCTCCCAAATGACCAATGACTCCCTTTCGGGGATGGGCTCGAACATGCCCAGCAGGCACGGCAAGCAAAAGCAAAGGTTTCGATTATGCACGTTTTCACGCTGAGGTACAACCGTACATGTGGAAATCAAGAAAGATTTGGCATCATCTTGCACTGATTTAGCCCTCCTTAGTAATGGCACTGGGGGTGCGCCTGGCCAGCGAAAGAACAAAAAAGAATCAAAGTCCGCAGATTCACCAAAAGCGAATTGGCGAATAGAAAGGATCGTGCCCCAAGAAACGACTTGCCCCCTGCTGCCAAGACGCCCCGCCGTCGGCAGAGTGGCAAAACGAGTGGCTGGGGCAAGGGCAAGGGCAAAGGCAAACAATCAGAATACAGTGCAAAAGGTGGTCGAGGAAAAGGTGCTTGGAAGAGCATTTCCAGAGTGTGGGCCACGAAAAGCTTCAGGAACACTTGGAGGAACCAGGACTCCGGCAAAGGAAGCGGAAAGAAAGGAGCAAGATCCGAATCCAAAGGTGGAGGCAAGGGCAAGAAAGGCAAATGAGGCGATTCACTTTTCAAGTGGATCAGAAATTTTGGGAACTACTTGAAGGGGCTGAAACTTCGGTGGTTCTCAAGATGTTGAAATACACGAATTTGCTTCGAAATGTGTACATCTATGTGCCCGTGACTCGTTCCGACAGGAGCCCAATGCCAATGGAATTGCCATTCCCAGTTGTTCTCTTGCTTACATGTTATGCGCGGAAGTTCATATTTCGTGGGAAAGCGGAGCCAGAACAGCAGGACGTAACAAAGGCGATGCAGGAGTTATGTGCAAACATGCAGTGGACATATCATTTTCGACATTCTTCTGAACGGCCTGCCTGGTGGAAAAAGCATCTGGGCAGAATCCCGATGTCAGAGTATTACATGACCGACATACCCGCGGAGCTCACGAGCAGCATGCGGGCAATGACTTGGCAGGCTTCAGAATTATGCCGGCATAAGATTATGAGTCGGCGTGGTGATCCAAAAAACTACTCCAATATGCCTCGCTTTGTGCACGTGGCAAAGAAATGGTTGCAATCTTCGGATTTGGTTGCCGTTCCGACAGACAAACACGGGGGCTATTGCTTGGTCCCCGAGGCCGCGCTAAAAGGCTTAGTGGCGGAATCTTCCAAAAATCATGTTACGAGGAGGTTTCCTGGGTAAGCCCCCGTTTGATTGGAGAGGTATTTGATTCGATTGTATCAAAGATTGGGACGGCTTTCGATGAGCCCCAGCTGCCCGGCGCCCTGCGTAGGCGAGGCTTGCAGCACCGCGCAATGGAAAGCAAACTCCTCTTCACTGTCAAGACCCACAAGCCGGCGGGGGAGGTAAGCTTGCGAATTGTGCATAGTTGCGCTGGGCATTTGTATGCAGATATATCGAAAGTACCCTTGGGTCTTCGACAGCACGGATGACGTTCTAACAGCGTTGCGAAATATCAAAAAAACTGTAGTTGTATTATGGCTTTGTGTGACATAAAGGATTTTTTATTTAAATGGGGATCATTCTGATATGTGCCGTCGTGTATCCAGAGCAGTCTGGGGCAGTGGCGGCGCAGTCCACGAAATCATTCTCTACGGTCTTCTATCGAACCAGTTCGTGCACACGCCTCTGCTGGAAGACAGGCACTGGAGGGTTGTCTCTGGTGCTGGAATGGGGTTCCCTTGCGCGGGGGACGTCGCCGACGTAAACTTCGCAGAGATGGTGGAGGTGGAGCTGATGAGCCGATTCGAGGACCACGGGCTGTTGTTTTATGGGAGGTTTCGTGATGATATCCTGTTTCTGTGTAAGACCAATAGGGATTGGGTCCGTGTGATGAGCTTTTTGCATAGGCGTAGTTCTGGAACATATAAGCTAGAAATGGCTGAAATGGGGAATCGCATTATTGATTTTTTGGATATTCGAATCTTCCAGAATCGTTCCGGGTGTTTGTCCTGGGAACCATTTTCGAAGCCAGGGCAGATCAAAGTACCTCTGTCCCAAACTACTGCGCATCCCCGTAGCGTGCATAATTCTTGGCCCGTGGCCGAGATTGACCGCTTGAGGCGCCGATCTTCCAGTGCAGCCGCGCTCGAGTCCGCCAAAAGAGCTAGGATAGACGACATGTGCAAGCATGGAGTTCGGGTGCCCCTCACAGTTCCCTTTTCCAGCCTGCCCGTCAGTAGCAGCAGACGGGATCGGAGCGGGAGGACTAACACTTTGTGTCTTCAGCTCCCATATCACCCCCTGCTTGCGAGAGCGCCGCTTACGAATTTATTGAATCGGCTGTGCGATGCATGGGGGCTCCAAGGCCCTCGGGTTTTTAACTGCCCAGTGCAAGTGCGAATCAGCTGGTGGAATAAGCGGCCGAGCCACGCTCAATTGATTAGAAAGTGGCAACAAAGATATTGACTGGCTGGAGACCAGGGTAGGTAGGACGGAATGTCATTATTATCGGCATTGTAACAGTTGCATGCGTAAGTAGTCATTTTGGCTTGAATTCTTTAGCCGAGCGCTCACAGGCCCCTAGGCTGTCCACCAGAGCGAATACCAGAACAAATAATTCCAAACATCATTTCAGAAGATTTGATTTCTTGGAAGGGCCATCGCTTTCGTGGATTTGCGTTGTAGTTCTGCGCGGCGGCACCGCCGTTACGACAGACTTGCCGTTACGACAAATCGCTGTTTTTTTTCTTGATCGAGCTATTGCCAGGAAACAGTGTCTGGATAGAGTGTGGGGCCCTCCTGGGAGGCCCTCGTCGCCACCGCTGGAATCGCCTCGGAATCCTGGTCAGAACGCGACCCGGGAGAGGTCCGGGGAGTAGCGGTCTCGGTACCTCTTGGTTTGCCCAAGAGGGGAGAGAGAAGGATAACGAGGAGGAGGATACACTTGATGTGATGCGTTTTTCGCTTTGGAGTGCTTGGTGTAATTTCCTCCTCCCTTTCTGCCTCCTAGTTCCTCCCTGCTGGCGACGCAGGCCTCTGTGCCGAATGAGAGCGTTTAGAATAACGAGCATTTACATGAGCACAAATGTTCCAAGGCCCCTGGGGCGCAGATCCAGGAAATCTGCGTGGACCTTAAACCATTTCTGTTCATGCAAACGCTCGCTCTCCTAAACACTCTCATTAAGTACAGAGGTTGCGTCGCCAGCAGGGAGGAAGGAGGAGGCAGAGAGGGGGGAGGAAATTAAAGCCTGCACTCCAAAGCGAACAGAACAACACTTCAAGTGTGTCCTCTTCCTCCTCCTTCGCCTTCTCCTCCTTGTGCTTGCGACAATCCCCTCAGCCCTCTGCGCGTAAACCCAAACATGGATTAGCGAATATGCGCCTCCCAAATGACCAATGACTCCCCTTCGGGGATGGGCTCAAACATGCCCCTGCCCTCCCAAGTGATGCGCGCCAGGGGGGGAGGTCGTGGTCGGTTCGAATGTCCACCTTCGCCCACGATGGCTCATCCATGGCGCGAGATAGCTCAAGATGACTGGCCCCTCCCCTAGAAAGGCCGTGATGAACCCGAGAGGGCCAAAAAGGCATTCAAGAGCACCCCGAGAGAAATCCAGGATACTTTGTTTCGTGCTTCTGAGGGAGGGGGGGGGGAGTCGGGCTCAGCTTTGGCTGTGGATGGCCCGCAGGCTGGCCCCACAGGACCCTGGAAAGGACCCCCCGCGGACAGTCAGGCTATCATCAGAAGGAGTGCAACATGAGAAACGACGCCATTTCTTGGTCCAAGAAGGGCCCGGGTGCAAGATGAGCAATGGAGGGGCAGCCATGGGGAGAAGGACCTCGGGAGCAGCGAGCCCCCTTTCCGAACCAGGACTGCTCCCAATCTCAGTGCCCTGGCTGCCGCCCCAAAGAGCAAGACGCCACCCAGAGGGCCCGTCCACAGACGTTCCTCCTCTTTCTCTGTGGGCGAGAGCGAGTGGCGAGCCGCCAATCAACACGCGGACCAGGGACGAGACAACGCCACACCGAGAGGGGCGCCTCGCGCCAGCGCGGTGGAGAGGGCGAAGGGAGGAGAGAGGATGGAATGACTTCCTCCCCCCTCCCCAGCGAGGGTTCAACCACCTTCTCTTGTCCCTTCATGTGGGGGACTAATAAAGAACCAGGGCATGGCGAGCCCAAAGCTCAAGCACGAAAAACGCCAGAAAGAAACTATTACGTGGCTGAATCAGCATGCTCATCCTCTTGATGAAGGGGAAGCAAGTGGGCTCACCCCACAGAGGCGGATGCTCCCTGAAGCACTCGACGAAGGCCAGCATGCCTTAGGACGAAGCCGATTGACCCTATCTAGGGGGCTGGAAGGGAGAAGAGGAGGAGGAGGAGGTGAGGGAAGAAAGAGGAGGACGGCTCGACCTGCACGGTGTGTTTGGTTTTCGTTGCGTTTCCGTTCTCCCCCGGCTTGTCTTCGTTCCTCCTTTGCTGCAGAGCGGGCTCCAAACGAACACGGCCCACGACATCGCCAAGACGCAGTTCAGGTCGACCCCCCTGGGAGGAACAAGGAGCACAGACATCCAGCCACCTGACTTGCTCGATGCGTGGGCCCCCCGACCTGTCGACTCTCTCCCCAGGGCCGCTTTCGGGAACCACGTGCGAACCCTACCCCTACCCCCAACGAGTTCTGAGGCGGAGGCGAACGAAGTGACCCCCCCCCCTCAGAAATCGTGGAGGGCAGGGGGAGGGTTCGCATGTGGTCCCCTAGGCTTCTAAACCCGAGCAGCTCGTGGACGGCCCCGAGTCCCGAAACCAACCTCCAGGGGCGACAAGTGGCGACAGCCGGGGGGGGGGGGGCAACAGAGGGTCCGATCTGGTTTTCTCGAGGCCTCCCGGGAGGCGGCCGTGCATCGAGTAACGTCCCCAGTGGCGGGGTCGGAACAAGCCGCATGCGGCAGTTTTCGTGTACTCCCCCCGCTCCCTATCCCACAATGGGTCCAGGCGCGAAGGGGGCCTGGTGAAGTTTCACAGGTTTGTTTTTGAGAATCGTGTGCGAACATCCATCTCTATCGCTCTCTCTGTCTCTGTCTCTCTCTCTCTCTTTATCCTTCTCTCTCTCTCTTTTCCTCTCTCCCGTCTTCCCGTACCCAAGCCGCGCCGATCCTTCTTTCGCCTATGTACGGAGTCCAGAATAATAATCCACTCGTAAGGAGACCTTAGAAAATAATCCTGATGGAAGAATCCTGAATAATGAACCCTGAGTGCGGAATCCAGAGTGGAGGTTCCTCAATGAGAAATCCTTGCTAGGGATCCTTGGTCAGGAACATGTTGCAAGAAGGCCGATGTTGGCCATATGTTTATGAGGAACCCTTATTCTGGAATCCTTTGTAAAGGACTCTCATAAAAAGTACCCTTCGTGGGGAACCCTTTGTGCAGAATCCTTCGTAGGGAGTCCAAAAACAAAAATTGCGAGCAAACGCATCGCACTAGGGAAGCAATCGAAAGGCATTATCACCAATGAGCTCTTAGACAGGAGTCCTTAGTATGACAGATATAGCCAGGAATCCTTCGGAAGGAGACCCGCATAAGGTATACATAGAATAACATCCGAATCAAATATTCACTTCCCTGAAAACCGATCCCATAACAACGATTCCTTGAGAATCAAACCTGAGTGCGGAACCCATCGTGAGGGATCCGCATCAAGGAATCCTTACTAAGAGATCCCCAGTCGAGAATCGATAGTATAATAATCCTTCTGCAGGGATCTTCAGCAGGGAACCCACAATCGAGACTCCTCGCCAGGGGGTCACCAATAACGATGTCAAAAAAAAACCACCTGTATTAAGGAGTCCTGAGCAGGACACCGTTAGTAGGGAATTCATGATAAGGAACCCTTTGGTGGGAACCCTTGATATTCCTCAGTAGGGAACCCTCGATTGGGAACCACAAGCACTGAAATCATACTAAGGATTCCGTAGTAAAGAACACTGCATGAGGGACCCTGTGTGAGGAATCCCCCGTCACGGTCTTTAGTAAACAAAGGTCGAAGAAATCCTGGAACATCAGTACTAATCCTGAGTGGGGAAGCCGTCGCAAAGGAGCCTTAGTAAGAATCGTGAGTAGAAAACTACAGATGAACAATCCGCACCTCGTCGAGCGCACCGCCCACTCTTCCCGAGGCTCTACCGACGCCCAGACACGTCCCTAGCGGTCTCCAAGGCGTCCGCAATACCCAAGATGGCTTCCAAGACGGACCTGGGAAGCCACCACGGCCGCCAAGATGGCCCAGGATGCCTCTAAGACAGCCAAAGAGGCCCCAAAGAAGCCCCTAATGCGCTACAGGACGACCCCCACGAGGGCCCCCAGAGGCAGCAACGAATGACTTGCATTGTGGTGGTCTATGTGTTTCACGTTATCCCCGTTTCGGGCTTCCGACGCTCCAAGATGGCCCCAAGACAGCTCCAAGACGGCCTGGGAGGCCCCCAAACGGGCCCCTGGACACCCCGAAAGAGCCCCAAAACGACCCAAGAGGCGCCACCATCAACCCGGCATAGATCCAAGACGGCCCAAAGAGGGGTCCAGAAGGGGGAACACGAACTAACAATTCCAGCCTCCCGCCCGAAAAGGCCTTCCAGGGGATCCCAAGAGGCATCCAAGGAGCCCGACGAGGCCCCAAAAAGGCGTCCAAGAGGCCACCAGATGCCCCCAGGAGGCCTCGAAACTGCCTCCAACAGGCCCCCGAGAGGGCGCCCACAATATCTCAAAAATCATCATCATCATCATCATCATCATCATCATCATCATCATCATCATCATCATCATCATCATCATCATCATCATCATCATCATCAGCATCAGCATCATCATCATCATCATCATCATCATCGTCATCATCAGCATCATCATCATCATCATCATCATCATCATCACCATCACCATCATCATCATCATCATCATCATCATCATCATCATCATCAGCATCAGCATCAGCATCAGCATCATCATCATCATCCTCATCGTCGTCGTCATCATCATCATCATCACCATCATCAGCAGCAGCAGCATCAGCATCAACATCATCATCAGCATCAACATCAGCATCAGCAGCATTATCATCTTCATCATCATCATCGTCACCATCATCACCATCATCATCATCATCAGCAGCAGCATCACCATCATAATCATCACCATCAACAACATCGAAGTCATCATCATCATCATCATCAGCAGCATCATCATCATCATCAGTACCATCAGTATCATCATCGTCAGCAGCAGTATCGTCATCATCATCATCACCATCTGCATCCTAGTAATCATATGCGTAGACATACTCAAAACCAGCATCCTCATCCTCGTCATCATTATCATTATCAACAGCAGCGGCAGAAGCAGCAGCATCGTCAGCATCAGCATACTCGCCGCCCACAACCCTCAGGATTAGCGTCATAATGATAATCAGCACCAGCATCATCAACATCGTCATCAGCATCATCATCATCACCATCATCATCATCACCATCATCATCATCATCATCATCATCATCATGGTCAGCATCACCATCATCATCACCATCGCCATCACCATCACCATCATCATCAACACCATCATCATCACCATCATCATCATCATCATCACCATCACCATCACCATCACCATCATCATCATCATCAACATCATCATCACCAACACCATCACCATCACCATCACCATCATCATCATTATTATTACTATTATTATTATTATGATCATCGTCGTCAACATCGTTTTCATCGTTACCGTGGTTTTCATCACTCGCAGGTGTGACCTCCTCCAGTGCACCCCAATCGAAGGAGGAGCCGCCGAGCATGCTGGGCCGGCACGGTGGCGAGACTTGCTCCAGGCAGCTGGTTTCGCCGACGCAGCTGGTTTCGCAGACGGAGCTGGTTTCGCTGGGCGGCGAAGCCAGCCAGGCGAAACCAGCCGGGCGAAACCAGCCGTCGGCGAAACCAGCCGCAAAAGGGGCTCCAGCCGCAAAAGGGTCTCCAGGCCCCTTTTGCGGCTGGAGCCACAATATTACACCCTTCGTCCGACCTGACACGCGCCTGCCGACTCGACCCGACCATTTCCGAAAAGCCAAATGTCTGGCGGGGGCCCAGGGCCCCGTAGACGGGAACTTTGCTAAGCTAAGGCACTAGGACACTGGCGCACCAGAGAAAACGGCAGCCGCGGGTTGAGACGTCTCTGCCGCTGGATCTGGCAAAGTTCTGGTTCGAGGCGGAGCTCTGGAGGAACCAGATCAGGGGGGGCCATCGAGCTAGAATCGGCGATACATCGCCGATAGATCGGAGAAGGGCCCCCGATAGCGGGACCGCAAATTCCTGGGCGGGGCGGGCCATCACCAGGATGTCACGACCCTTCCTGCACGGCCGACCCTTCACCCCGAGTCGTCCTTCGACGGCCCCGGGGCCTGGCGAAGGCCCCCAGAGGCAGAAAGCGGTGGAAGAGCACAGAGAGGTAGCATTCTGCAGCACTTCCAGCAGTTCGGAGGTCTGGGCTCCGAGGGCCCTGATCCTGGAGGCCGCCGACATGGGAGCCGAGCGAATGGGTCGGACGATCGCGCCCCATGGCCGACGCATCGCCCGATGCATCGGCGCCGTCGGCGTGGAGAAGATCGGGCTCCACATGGGGCCGCATCGGCACTGCATTGGCGATGCGGCGTGATCCTCCGACCCAATTTGCTCGGACCCCATCTGAGAGGCAGCCTCGACTTGGAGGCGGCCGGGGGTCTCAACTGGTTGGGACCCCAGACAATCGGTCAGGAAGGCGGGGGGGGTCCAGCTCCAAGCCTGGACCTCAGCCTCGCTGGTGACGCACTGATCTGGGTCAGTGCGAACCTGGATCATGGATAAGCCAAGCTTTGCAGGATCTTGCAATATCCAGAAAAGTCATGCAGGGTCCTGCGCGCCCGCCCGAGTCAATGTACCCCTGGTTCTGCAGGATCCTGCAAAATCCAGCGCTCTGGTTGGCCCCCGTTTGCATTGACTCCCGTCTCAAAGGTTTCGATCTCGACCTGTCTTCTGGAGGTGCCAGACGACCATCGGCAGTAAACGAGGGCGGGAATTGACGGGGAGGAGGAGGAGGAGGAGGAGGAGGAGGAGGAGGAGGAGGAGGAGGAGGAGGGAGAGGAACAGGAGGAGGAGGAGGAGAAGGAGGAGGAGGAGGAGGCGGCGGAGGAGGATACCTTCTGAAGAGGCGGCGGGGGCTCTCAGAAACAATCTGGCCTTCTGCGAACTTTTATGCATCAGCGTGGCATGCACAAAGATTACTCCGGCGGTGGGA